TGGAGGGTGGAGGAAATCAGGACCCGAACAACAGCGGGCCTCTGTCGCATCAAATCTCTCGCCCCATTCAGATATGGGCAGCTCTTTCGTTCTCGGCTGGGGTGGGATCAAATGGCGGTTGGTGTGGCATCCTTTCTCAACTCGAGCTTGGTCCTACAATGACCTCTTCGCGTATGCTCTCATACACGCTTCGTCAACAATCTGCTCAATAGCTCGCATGGACATACATTCCTCCACTAATTTCGCCTGCGGCTCAGACTGGGTCTCTAGAATAGAAATGGCAATGGACTCGCCCAACACTGTCATGCTCGCCGTCCCTTTCCTCACATCTATAACAGTGCTCGTGGTCGCCATGAAGGGTCGTCCGAGGAGGATGGCGTGCTCCTTACCATTTTCTTCCACACTTCCCATATTAAGCACGACAAAATCCGCGGGGATGATCAGCTTCCGCACTCGGACGAGAACATCCTCCACAATCCCTTCAGGTTGACGGAATGAACGGTCTGCAAGCTGTAGGCGCATCTTGGTCAGCTTCAATTCCCCAAGCCTGAGCCTATGATAAACCGCGAGTGGCATGAGATTAATGCCGACTCCGAGATCAAGTAAACCCGATGTCTCTTCTCCATTCCCGAAGGCCATAGTGATCACGAAGCCTCCGGGATCCTTTTCTTTCTTCGGCAAGTCACGCTGGAAAACACTCGCCGCCTCGCAGATAATCACCTCCTCACCATTCTCAAACGGTTTCTTGTGCGTGGCCACCTCTTTGAAAAATCGTGCATAGCCCGTTATCTTCCTCATCACATCAACAGACGGTAGGTCAACATTTGCCTTTCTCAACATCGCATAGAGGTCACGCATCATTTGCTGATCTTTCTCCTCCAAAAGTCGGCTCGGAAATGGAATCCTTGGTCTGTATGGGTTCGGGGCTCTGTGTAAAGTTGGCTCAGGCTATGGTGAAGTTCGGATCTCTACTTTCTGCACTTCCTTCCTCGGGCCCTTTAGTTCGGGCATGATCACTGTAACAGATTTGGCATGCTCCGGCTGGCTCGGCAGCTTCCCTTTGTCCAAATCAGCCTCGATGGTCCCAACCCGTGTGGCTAGTTGGCCCACTTGTGTCTCAAGACTCTTGATAGAAGCATCATAATTGGTGACGAAATTGAGGATTTTGTCTAGCTTGTCGTCCGTGCTCGATGGGGTTGATCCGGATTCCTGTGCTGGCAGCCTTAACATTCCCCTCGGTTGCTGCTGCTACGGGACAAAGTTGGCTTGAGGTGGTTGCTGGTAGTGGTTGTTGGACCATGAGAAATGAGGATGGTTTCGCCACCCCGGGTTGTACGTGTTTGAGTAGGGGTCATTTCCGGGCCGGTTTTGATACCCCTGCATTGCATTCACCTCTACATT